TAAATAAATAAAGACTGTGCCAAATTATAGTCTTACCCTTACTAGGTAAACAGATACTTTTTCTTAGATTAGGATGTTGTAGTTTTTAAATTATTTCAATCTTATGTGTATGGATGTTTTGCCTGAATGGATGTCTGTGTACCAGGTATGTGTCTGGTGTCTGTGGAGGTCAGAAGGAGTTTTGGATACCCTGGGACTGGTGTTACACATGGTTGTGAGCTGACATGTGGGGGCTGGGCCCCAAACACAGGTCCTCTAGAACAGTTAGTTCTTAGCCAGTGAGCCATCTCTCTAGTCCTTGAGAGCTAATATTAATAAATTTTATTTTGGCTAATCTGATGGCCGAAAATGACCTCTCTTTGATTTATGCTTTTCCTGCTTATTGTTGCTGTTACAGATGTTTTAAAATCTTTAAATTTTCTTCTATATATTTATTGGCTATTTTAATTCTTATGAGTTAAATATATGAAAGATCTTGAAAAAGAAGAGATCAAAGCAGATTTGTGCTTGGATATGAATATTGGATATTTTTCACAGTACATGTTTTTCCTACCCTCCCCCCATAAAGGAAAATGTCAAATTCAGGTAATATCTCTATATAATATGAATGCATTAAAATATGTTGTGGGCCAAAACTTAATATTGAGAGATGCAACCTAGTCAGAAGAAAGAAAAGAGGACAGAGCCCAATCCCTCTATTGGGTCTTGGGCAGGAAATATGATGATGAGAAATAAGCACTTCTGGACTGGAAGGATGAGTCAGTGCTGCTTGACTGGGCAGAGAATATTTAAGGACTTAATTGCTGCAGCAGTTAGCCCTGTGGAATGCCGGACATAGTCCAGGAGGTGGCAGTATAGCCCTACTCACCATAAACCATGTCCATCCCTAGGGGGGAGAACGCTAAAATCTGCAATGAATTTTATATGAGACCTAGTATCTGTTCCCTTTTGTCCGAGCATCCAAAAAGGTCATCTTCTATTATTTTAGATTTAATCCCGTGTGTATGTATATGTGTGTGAGTCTGTGTGTGGGTATGTGCACATGTGTGGAGGTACCCATGGATGTGAGAGGCATCAGACCCTCTGCAGCTGGAGTTAGAGGTACTGGGAACCTAGCTCATTGAGCCATCTCTACTGCACTTAATGCTGTGTAGGTGTTTGTTTTTGTTAAGGCACGGGTGTGGTAAGGTGTAGGCATTCTCCTGAGACAAAGGGATGGCCTGGGAACACGGTAATGCAGCACCAGAAGGTACCACTACTAGTGCAATGGCTTTCCTCAACCAGCATTGCAAGCACGCTATTTATCCAAGCTCCAGGGGTTTATTAAATACCCTGGGGACATAGAAGGCTGGGTGGTCATGATCTCTTCATGGCCTCTGTGATTATCAGGGCTCCTTGGATGCCATTAGGTAGATGGGGACTCCTAGGTCAGCAAGGTAGAACAGTGGCTGGTTGGGAAAGTCGACATGATGATAAAGAGCTGTAGACATGTGGAATATTACTTTAACTAGGCAAAGATGTGTTACATTTGTTTATGCTGCATTTGTTTAACGATGTAAAGATGTGTTGCTTTGCCTGCCCAAGGCCCTGATTGGTTTAAGTAAAAGCTGAAGGGCCAATAGTTAGGCAGTAGAGGGATAGATGGGAAGAGAGAATAAATAGAAAAAGGAATCTAGACTCAAAAAAGAGAACAAAGAAGATGTTTAGGGCCAGGCAGCTGCCAACCAGCCAGACACAGAGTAGGGCATACAGAATGAAAGAAAGGTAAAACAAACGCCCATGGCAAAACATAGATGAAGAGAAACGGGTTAAAATAAGTAACAGCAAGAAATGAGCCTAAGCCAAGCATTCATAACTAATAATAAGTCTTCATGTCATGATTTTGGAGTGGGTTGGTGACCCAAAGGAAAGACATCTTGATGGATGCCGTCAAGAGCTCTAAGTACAAGACAAATGAAACTGGGGACATGACTGAAGGCAGAGTGACAGGAATGCTGAGGAGGCTACTCTGAGAGCAACAGTCTGTCAAGGCTTTGAACACCCCCAGGAGTGACTGGAAACATGGTTTTCAAGTATGACATGCAAGGCAGTGGCAGAGTGTAAGTCAGTCCTCAGAATGACTGGAAACTGGAAAGAGAATCCACACTGGCCTTGGCTTTCTTCCTTGATTCTGTTAATTTGCCTAATGTAGACCCAACCCTGATAGTAGTTAGCAAATACAGTTGCCATTAATCCACTGGAAAATTCTCAATTTAAAAAATGCACAGCAAAAAAAAATTTTTTTTTAAAGATTTTTACCTATTTATTATGCATGCAGTGTTCTGCCTGAAAGTATGCCTGCAGTCCAGAAGAGGGCACCAGATCTCATTACAGATGATCATGAGCCACTATGTGGTTGCTGGAATTTGAACTCAGGACTTTGGAAGAGAGCCAAACTAGCTTCTATTTTATGTCTCAAAATGTAAGTCCTCAGTCCAGTTTTCAAAAAAGTCACTGAAGAAAACTGAATTGGGGAGGATGGGAAAGGAGGCAAGTGCTGGTCATATGGAGACTGGGGGAGCTCTAAACCAGGGTTAGAACAGACTTCTGTGTTTCATGACAGCACCACCACACACTCCATGTCCCGAGCAGAGAAGGAAATTCATGTGAAAGATGTTTCCAAAGTTAAATGGTTGATTTTATGCAGGGTATGTAATGAACCCTTGTCATGTGCACTGACACTTGGGAGATCTTGATTCCTTGGGGATACTCTGCTACTGAGCCACCCTCCCACCCACAGACTTGTCTTGACTTTTACAAAGAGGGCTTTTACAAGGGTGATTGAACTCTGAGTTTTAAAGAATATTTATATTTTAAAATTTATGTGTATGGGTGCTTTTCTGGCATGTATGTATGTGTACCAATTCATGCCCAGTGCCCATAGAAGCCAGAAGTGGGTATCATATCCCAAAGGACTGGCCACAGACAGTTGTTAGTCATCATGTGGGTGCTGGCAATTGAACCCTAGTCCTCTGTAAAAGCAGCAAGCCATCTCTTCAGCCCTATCCCCACCCCCAGGTTTTTTTTTTTTTTTCTAACTGTTGATTATTTACTTGCAAAAGTTCTAATGTTTGGAGAAAGTAAGCCCCAATCAAAACCCAGGTTGGGCAGGATGGCACCTTTAATACCAACACTCAGGAAGGAGGTAGAGGCAGAGGCAGATGGATCTCTGAAGTTAGAGGTCAGCCTGGCCTACAAAGCGGGTTACAGGACAGCCAGGGCTGTTACAAAGAGAAATCCTGTCTCAAAAAAACAAGCAACTCCAACTCCCCCAAACCCCGCCCCCAAGCCCCAGGTTGGTTTGAGCCAATGGGTGTATTGTGAGCATGCCAAGTACATCCATAAAGGGTCAGGAAGAGAAATGGAATTAAAACCCAAATCTTCATCTTTCTTCACGTTTGCCCAAGGGTGGTCTTTTTCTGGTTTGCTTTTCTTTTTCCCACACATGTAAAGAGAACATGTAAAGTTTATTTCAAAATATAGTTTCTTGAGGAGGATATATGGGTTTTAACTTAAGCCTGTGAATTTGAAGGAAATATTTGTTCTTACACTAATTGCCATGATGGCTCCATTTTTCCTGTCATCATTTGACACAGGGAGGAAACATGCTACCGTGACAATCCTGTCTTCTTGTCCTGGGTGTCCACTTCTAGAGTTCTCATGCATTTGTGTTAGCAGCAGTGACAGCATCATTTGCCCATAATTCTTGAGAACACGCAAGCCACTGGCTACACGCACAGAACCCAGGTTCCCACGACACAGGCAAGATGAGTGATACAGGCAAGAGGTGGGGCTTTATAGAGGTCAAGCAGACATGGGTGTGTTTGTCATTTGCCTGAGAGTGCAAGGTCCCCATAGTCAAGTTGGAATTAACTGATATCCACGTAATCTTAAAACTAAGCATTTGATTAGAACCATGGTGAAAGTTTCAAGGGAAGTCTTTCATTTTATCTGTGTCTCTGTGATGATTACAGGAGAATCAATGAAGTATTTATCAAATTAATACACATAAGTAATGTTAAAGAAAGTTAAGATTTTGCAGTTTAAATAATTTACCTTTGCTAGTTCAGTATACAATTGACGTGTATGACCTAGAGCCACATTCTCTAGAAGGCTTTTTGCTTTAAGCATCATAATTTCTTTGAAAGTTCTTGTGGATCCACTTATTCTCTGTTTCCCAATGAGTATGAAAAGAGTGTCATTCATTTCTGCACTTGGCTCATGCATGGTCTCTTTAAAATGTCCTTCACTCTAATTTGGAAGAGGGAGTTAATTAATACTGCTGGTGTCTAAGTATGGGTAGAAATTATTGGAACAGCCCATTTAAATATCTTATTTGCATTAATATCCTGTGGGTTAAGAATGAATCAGTTACTGCCAGATTTTGTAAGCAAAAAATGTGTAATCCAATCTTTTCATTGTTGACAAAAAGAATCTAGTCAATGGCACTGAGGTTGCTTAGTCTTCTAATGCAGTGATTTTTTTTTTTTTTTTTTAGACTGGAGTGAGAAACAATTTCATTGTCTTTTTCAGATTCTTCAGTGTGTTTGGGCTTCTCACTTCTCTATGCTCTCCTCAGATGAGCTTCCACCCTGCAGCTGGCCTCTGAGGAAGTATCTCCCAGAAAGTCTTCCTTGTGGCAGGTAGAAAGGATGGAACTGGAAGCCGGGGTTGTAGTTTGGAAGGAGCAAAGGTCTGTTAGGAGGCCAGTAGAAGCCGGGCCTTCTTGGTAGAAAATGAAACCACGTCCAGGGGAATATCCTTGTGTTGGGTTGGGCTCTTGTTACCGCAGGCTTCCTTGTGGGGGGCGGAGGGGTGAGTGTGAAGATCTGGCAGTCTGTAGGGGTCACATTATCTTGTGAGCCACCAGGAGGGGTGACTACATCTTGTCCTGTGGAAATGAAAATGTAGGTCAGGAAATGGGCCTGGCAACCGAAGCGGAGAAGTTAAGATTCCTCAGGGTGAGGGTGGGACAGAGATATGAAGAGTAACACTGGGACATTATAAAGCATAACTAAATGAGCTGCAGTGGTCCAAGGAAACAAAGCATGAGTACACTAATGATCCACATTTCCATCTGGGGAACTGATCCAAAAGAAATAAATGTGTATTTATCCAAAAATACTAGTTCAAGCATGTTCATAGCAGCCTAAGCAATCCAAATGCCCATCAATAGCGAGCTATTGTGCATTCACACGATAAACCTGTCTCCAGGAATGAAAAGGAAGAACAGATAACACCTAGAAACCCAGATGAATCCATGTATGTTGAACAAAGGGAATTAGACACAAGAGCGTGCACATTGTAAGAGTCCATTTATATGAAGTTCAAGAGTAAGCAAAATGAAGCTATGGTTAAAAATCAGATCAGAATTGAGTTGAGGGGTCAGCACAGTGTTGTTTCATGGAGGGATTAACCAATGTTTAGCAATGTTCTACACCTTGATCTCAGAGGTTATTTGGTAGATTTGGATACATATAACATGAGTGCGCGCGCGCACGCACACACACATACACACGTATTCCTGTATAAAATGTGGTGAAGCTGTACTTTTAAGGTTTTAGGGTATTTTTTTTTGTATATGGCTTATGACAAAATAAGGAAAACTCAGTGAAATAAAAAAAGGATTTATTTACTATTAAGAAGATAAGCCAGGTGGTGGTGGTGCATGCCTTTAATCCTAGCACTCGGGAGGCAGAGGCAGGTGAGTTTGAGGTCAACCTGGTCTACAAAACACGTTCCAAAACAGCCAGAGCTGTTACACAGAGAAACCCTGTCTTGGAAAACCAAGACCGCCCCCCACCCCCAGGACAATTGACTTGAGCTTCTTGGTTGCACTATATGCACTTCTCTGGCTATGAGAGTCCTTAGTTCTTTTTTTTTTTTTTTTATTCACAATCCTGAGAAATGTCAATTGTGAACGCCTGGGTATAGCTAATTAGGCTGTTGATATACACTCACACACTAGCTAGTCACTTAGGAATTAGAACTGCTGGAATTGCAGATGGCAATGAGAAACCATGTGGGTGCTGGGAATCGAACCCAGGTCCTCGGAAAGAGCAGTCAGTGCTCTTAACCATTGAGCCATCTCTCCAGTCCTATCATCTTATTTAATTCCATGGTGATTGGGTGCTAGAGCATGATAGACAGATTTTCTCCCAGGCTGAGATGTCCAGTAATTTAGTGTTGTCTTCTGGAAACTCACAAGGGCCCAAGATCAAGGTGCAGCTTGCCTTTATCCCCCACTCAAGGCAGTCGGCAAGACTGAATAAATAGGTTTTGATAGTTTTCCCAGCAAACTAATCACATGGTGATTATATTGGGCCACACTACTTAGAAACACAAGTGTTCTAAAATGAAGGGACCATGGCTGGAGCAATGGCCTGGTGGTTAAGAGAACTGGCCACTCATCCAGAGGACCCAGGTTTCTTTCCTAGCAACACGGTGGCTTATAACCACGTATAACTCCAGTTCCAGGGATACATGCCCTCTTCTAGTCCTCTTGTGTACCAGGCACACAGGTAGTATGTAGACATACATGCAGGCAGAACACCCATATACATAAAATAAAAGTAAACTTTAATAAAAATAAAGTATAAGAGCCCTATGAGTTGGTTTGGGAATCTGTCAGGTGACAAAGTTAGAATTGCCCATGTGAATTGATGCCATCTGTGCTTTCTTCCTCTGGCTCTGCTGACCCCGCCCATTTGACCTCGTTCTATCTACTTCCTTCCTCTGGCTTTCTTCCTCTGGCTCTGCTGACCCCGCCCATTTGACCTCGTTCTATCTACTTCCTGTCATCATTATTTTTGTTTTCTCCTCAAACTGCCTTCAAAACTCCAGTCACTATTTGAAGAATTCTACCTCTCCAAGATTACTTAATGATACATTTCAGAGACAAAATTGGGCGATCTGCCATGAGCTTTTTAGGTTAATCTTTTGTTAAAGAGGGCTGTAAACTATGTACACATTTGACCAATTACACTGTGACTGTGTCCTCCACTCTACAAATGCTACTTTAGCAAAGCCTTAATGTTCCTAGTCTTAAAATTTGGTTCCAGATGTCGAGAGTTCCATTTTCTACCTCTTTCCCCTAGATCTTTCATCCTGTCCCTGAGTCAGATCTCCTTAGGGAGGTCTTCCCCTAAGGCTGGGTGATGGCAAGAACTTCCATAGCAGCTTTGGCCCACTAGCCTCACACTTCTCAGTCATGCTGTTATTTCTGAGATATCCAAGGCCCCATGTCAGCGCCTGAGGAAAAACTAAATCGATTGAGAGAAATTTCTGTGGTGATATATTATTTATGCTTTATTAAAGCTTGCCTGAGGAATCAGAAAGCAAAGTCAGCCACAAGCTACAGGGATCAGTAGATGGTGGCATACACCTTTAATCCCAGGATTCAGGAGATAGAGGAAGAGGGATCTCTCTGAGTTCAAGACCATCCAGGGATATATTAGAGTAAATCAGTTTAAAAGAGAATTAGAGCTCACACTTTAATCCCAGGACTCATGAGAGGTATTTAAGACAGGAGCAAGGTCAGTATCAGGCATTCATTCTCCTGCTACACCGAGGAGAGGCAGCAGGATCAGTCCATTCAGCCAGGGGTGGTGGTAAGAGCTAGTGACCTGCTACTTTGCTTTTCTGACCTTCAGCTTGAAGCTTGATAAATCATAAATAATATATCACCACAAATCTCTGTTTGTATAATTGCAAAATTCCTGTGTTCCTACCTATTGGAGATACTGTGATGATTAGCACATATTTCTCACACATTACACACTGACATGTCAGCAAAAGCACTGGATATCAAAGCTAAGCATCCTGAAAGCTTAATAAGACCAAAGTAGGTCACATATTTGAATGTTGATTAAAAACAGCTGGAGAGGCAGGGCATCGTGATGTTCTAGAGGCAGAATCCCCAAGTTCTGCTTCTAATACTGTGACTATAGGCAGATCCCCTCACCCCTAGGCTTTTTCCTTATTTGTAAGATGGAAAGAATAATATGGCCTATCCAATGGGCTTGTGAGATTATCCAAATAAGATATTCGTGGTTCTGAAAGTTTCCCATTGCACAGTGCACATTTAGTTTAGCTATCATCACTGTTAACTGTTACAGTTGTGGATGTTATATAAGGATTTTTCACAGCACAAGCTCCAGTTCTCAGGTCTATCTGTTTATATGTTATACACGATCTGTGCATTAAGGGGAGGATAGGATTAAAACTACACAGTTATATAAGTCTAGGACCTCTATGAAGACAGGGATTATTGACTCTGTTGGCCATTGCTGATATCCTCGGCACCTGGGACACTTGTGGATGACAGTGTTATCAGTGAATACTTGGTGCATTCACAAAATGACTAGGCAGACAATGGCTGTTCTTTTTCAGTGTTTTGTGGTACCCAGTGAGCATTCGATTCCTGTTTTAGAATGTTTTAAATAATAGTTTATATTCAAAATTGTAGTACTGTATAATAAAAGCCAAAATATTGTTTTTGAGTTTGGCTATCAATTTTAAATGGGATTATTATAGTCTAGACATGAAATTTATAACATACCCCAAAACTAGCACTTTTTTATTTTAAAAAAAAGGCAAAGACCAGAAGATCTTTTTATAATTACCTGTGCTCTGTGGTTAACTGGGCAGACAATAGCTGTTTTGTAGTAAACTGTAGTGATTTTTAGAGGCAAGCTTGGGGCTTGATGTCTAGATATGCCATGTTTTCCTTACAGAGCACCTGGAGTCTTAGAATTCCCTTGACATTTCAGACTTTAACCACAGAGATATCGGTGCTGTGGGTAACTGACTCATAAAATATAATTAAAATTAATTCACTTTGTAGACTCGGAGGACAATTGGCTATTTTTGTCAAATCCCTTATTTGAAAGATACAGAATTTAGAGCCCAGAAAATGTCTTCTAGGCCTTATTCAGTGTGTTGTGAGTGAAGCTGGTTCATCAGTTAGCTTGTTCTTTGTCAGGTGTTGAAGTAAAGGCAGAGATGACAAAGACAGTGCCTGGCTCTGAGGATGGGAAAGATACTACACATATATCCAGCACAACACAGAAGGGAACGGAGCACACACTGTAGGTGATGTACAGTTGCTATGACAATCCAAAGATGTCAGAGAAAAAGATCTGCTATTTTAAATTAACATGTCTTAAGAAAGCTTACAAATGAAATGTTATAGTCGCATTTAAATGCTGCTTCTTGAAGCAGAATTGCAGAAAGCAGATGTAAAGTAGGATAGGAGCAGCTGCTGCCATGGGGACGAGGGCACAGGGATGTGGGACACGTGTGACCCTGTTGGGTAGTCATGTGTGTGAGTGAGGACCTAGAACCTAGGCTGCCACATTCAGGGATCAAATTTCACATCTCAAATGATATTTTTGTTTGTTTGGGGACATGGTTTCACTATGTAGCCCTGGCTGCCCATCCTAGAACTTGCCATGTAGATTAGACTGGCATTGAACTCACGGACAGTGTTGTAATTCCAGGTTGGCATTGTTAGCTTGGTAACCATAATAACAATAATAGCATTTGTGTAGTGCTTTTAATGTGAGGGTTTTGGTTTTTTTTTTTGCATATAAATCAATGGTGCTCTTTAACCCCACAATAATGCATATTGATATTGCCACTCTACACATGAGAAATTCACGCGTAATGTTCAAAGAGGTTACAAGTGTCTCAAATCATAGAGCAAATGCTGAGACTCAGATTCAGGTCTTCAGATGAGAAAATCCAGACTCTCATTTAACCACATGAGCTGAAGACAGCAGATATAAACATTTTCAATGTATGGAAACATGTAATTGTGGAAGCCACATTTGTCTTTCCAGATGGCATTAATTATTTAACCCACAAACAGTAGGTAAAAACCCAAACTCTTACCTTCTGCCATAGTTAGCACTGACCAGCCGACCAGGACCCAGAAGAGGAATCCAGGAGCCATGGCTTCTGCCGTGAGTACTCACACCACTCTAGACACGAGGCCTCTTTAAAGGAAGAGTGAGTGAGTCACCAGCATCCTGAGTCAGGCAACTAACATGAGCATAGAGGACCACAACCACCTGGACCTACAGTGTGCGGTGTTCGAGTGAGTTCTCAAGGAAATGCCAGATAGCATTCACTAACCTGAAGCTGCTTGTAATGCCAGGCAAGCATCGCTCACCTCACCTTCCCTCACTGTCACCCTGTCCTTGCAGTACCAAACACTCCCCCACCTCACTGCCTTCTCCTTACTTGAATCTGTGGCTCTTCAGAGGTACAGGAAGGTTTCTTGGGTCCTTTTCTACTGCTGAGACAAAGCAATTTTTAGAACAGCGGTTCTCAACTTTCCTAATGCTGTGATCCCTTAATACAGTTCCTTATGTTGTGGTGACCCCACCTTCCTAATGCTTCAACCCCTTAGTACAGTTCCCCATGGTGTAGTGAACCCCAACCATAAAATTATTTCTGTTGTTACTTCATAACTGTAATTTTGCTACTGTTATGAATCATAATGTAAATATCTGATATGCAGAATATCTGATATGTGACCCCAGTGAAAGTGTTTTTTGACCCCATATGGGTCGAGACCCATAGATTGAGAACCATTGTTAAGGATGAAATTGTTTATTCGGGCTTACAGTTTCCGACGGTGGTGCTGGAGCAGTAGCTGACAGCTTATATCTGACCCACAGGCCTGAGACAGAGAAAGAGCTAAGTGAAATGGTGTGGGCTTTTGAAACCTCAAAGCCCACCCCTAGTGACACACCTCCTCCAACAAAGCTACACCTCATAATCCTTCCCAAACAGTTTCACCAACTTTGGACCCAGCATTCAAATATATGAACCTATTAGGGCCATTCGCATCCAAACTCCCACAGAAAGGAACCATCTGGAAGTTCCTAGCACAGCTCCTCACCACACAGCTTGACTTCCTGGAGCAAAACATGAGGGAAGAGGAGATGTAGAAGTTTCCTGACCCAGGTGTTTGAAGAGGCTGCTGTAGATTCTGACTCAAGTGTATGATTCTTCTCTACTCTGTGTCTGCCTGTGAGGGAAGGGCCAGGGTTAGAAAAGTGTCATTCCGTGTGGCCACTATGGTCACTGTTGAAATAAAAATGAAAAACTGGGAACATAACTTAGTGAGTCTCCTTTGTAGACTTTCTTCTAAGTTACCAACATGCTTGGAAGATGGCCATGTGTCTTGGTCATTGTTCTATTGCTGTGAAGAGACAACACGACTAAGGCAACTCTCATAAAAAGAAAGCATTTAACTAGGGGCTTGTTTAGAGTTTTAGAGGTTTAGTCCATTGTCATCTTTGTGGGGAACATGGCAGCATGCAGGGAGACATTGGAGTAGTAGCTGAGAACTAAATTGATCTGTAGACAGAGATATCTGGGCTTTTGAAACCTCAAAGCCTAACCCCCAGAAACATATTTCCTCCAACAAGGCTATACCTCCTAATCCTTTTAATCCTTTCAAATACTGCTACTCCCTGGTGATTAAGCACTCAAGTATATGAACACATAGAAGCCACTGTTATTCAAACTACCACAACATGACACATCTGTGCCTGGCTGGTTTCCTGAGAGGATTCTTTCACCGGCAGAGTGACAGGAAGGAGGTGATAACAGGTTATGAGAACTTGGCTGAATTAAAAATGTCATTATAATGTTGTATTCATTATAATGAATAAAATGCATTTCCCAGGCATGGCATCTTAAACCTGTAAGTCCAGCATTCAAGAGGCCAAGGTAGACAGAGTGCCAAGAATTCAAGACCAGTTTAGGCCACTTAGTAAATTCCAAGCCTGAGTGAGCTACAGAGAAAAACCTTGTTTTAAACAATGATAACAAAACCCATGGTATTTAAGAGAGTAAATGCTAAGAAACAGTATTCTTGGAGCATTATTAAAGTCTCCAAAGGGGTAGCTAGGGCAAGTGCCCAGCAACCACAGCATCAGAGAAGTGAAGTTTGGGCCCTAAGAAGGATCCACATTGTTGTCCAATTGGATCCAGAACAGCTTTCTTTGCTCTTGCTGTGGGAGAGAAAAGAGCAGAGGGCAGATGAGCACACTTGTGAGGCTGTTTCTGTTGACCCACAAGGGTACTTACTGGGTTCTTTAGCTTGCTTTGTTTGCACACCTGCAACTCTCATGTAGTTAACAAGTGTAGTGAGTGAGCTGGGAGCAGGACAGCAGAGGTAGCTTTATGCCTTTGATGAAAGAGAGGTCTATTACTGGGGAACATCACCTTTTCTCAGAGTTTCTCTCACAGTTTTGGGAGGAGTGGAAGCATAGGATGAGGGTACTCCGGAGGCAAAGGCAGATGGGTCTCTGTGAGTTCAAGGTTGACTGAGCTACAGAATGAGTTCAGGACAGTCTCCAAAGCTACAGAGAAACCCTGAGTTGAAAAACCAAAACCAAAACCAGACCAAAACAAAAAACCTAACCAACTAACCAACCAAACAAACAAGAACCAAACATCCAGTAGTAACTGGCCAGGGAGGCCACTTTAAAGCAGCCAGCTGGAGTTTCCTGTAGAGCCAGTCTGGGGTAGAGCAGTGTCTCCTGGGTGAGACTTCCGAGGAAAAGAGCAAACAACAGAACGGTAATATCAATGTGGGGTCTTACAAATGTCCAGCAAAAAAACATTGGGGAAATTGAGGCAGTCAGCTCAAGAGTTCTCAAGTGAGATTTTCTCTATGACTAATCTTCCTGTGGCCAAGATTCTGGTTTCTCTTTGTTACAGTAGACACAATATTATGGGGTACGTATTATTAACATCTGTTGGAAATAGCTCACCTTCTGTGGGTCCTCAAAGACAAGATTTTTTTCTTTCTCTCCACTTTTCATTTAAATTAGAAATAAGATTATTTTACATGTCAATCCCAGTTCCCTCT